GTAATTTATAAAAAGATTTGATAGAGTACTTGCTGGAAGATTCGAGCATCCAAATAGGTTGATCTGGAGAATCAGATAATGCAACTTGCTTAACTAAATTATTGAGTTCATCCCATCTAGCTAAAGTCTTTTCCTCCACACATCTCCTTGAAGTAAGATGAAGTTCACCACTCACCCAGACCTGTGCAAGAGTAGACTCTTGCTGTTGACAGATATCATACAGGTCCCAAAATGAAGTTTTAAGAGAGCAATCCCCAATCCAAATATCATGCCAGAAGGCAATACTCTTGCCATCCCCAAGGATCCATCTATAGAATTTTTTTGATGCTGCAAGGGCCCAAGATAAGCTTTTCATAAAAGGAGACCCCAGGGTAACCCTAGTGCTAAAGAAATTAGGGCTGGCAGTATTATATTTATAAGCCAAAATCTTTTTCCATCACTATTCCTATTATCATAAAATCTCTTCCCCCAAGATGCCAAAAGGGCCATGTTAAAATCTCTAAGGTTGGGAACCCCCATACCACCAAACTCTTTCCTCCTAGAGATCAACCCCTAACTAGCAAGGTGATATTTGTGATTATCACCCACATTACCCCCGAAGAAATGAGACATCTGAGAAGTAATCATATCAATGGCCCATTTGGGAAATTTGACAATGGACATTAGATAGGCAGGAATACTGTATATACAAGTACTGAGAAGGATCAATTTGCCCCTATAGGAGAGAAATCTCCCCAACCATCCAGAAATATTCTTAATAATTCTATCAATGATGGGTTCAAGATCTTCCCTTCTGAGTTTTTTTAAAAATGAAGAGGGACTCCTAAATATTTAAAGAGGAAATTCCCAAGCTGGCAATAGAAAACCCGAGCAAAATCTTTAGATAGCTGCTCAGAGATATTAATGGCATGCAGATCCCTTTTATGGAAATTAATCTTCAAGCCAGATAGATTTTCAAAACAGGAATGGATCCATTTCAAAATTTTGGCACAATCTAAAGAGCTATCAAGGAATAGGATGGTATCATCAACATACTGTAGGCTAACCACCCCACCAGGAATGGCATGAGGCAGCAGTCCACAAATCTACTGGCAGCCTTATATAGCATCTTAGAGAAAACATCAACCACCAAATTAAACAGTAAGGGTGAATGAGGATCACCCTGCTTCAAGCCTTTTCCCCCAGTGAACTGGGGACCATTAGAATCATTAATCCTGACCTGAAAAGTTCCTTGGTGAATAGTAGACATAACCCATCTCTAAAAAGATAAATATTTAGGAACAGATGAGGTACATACGTACGTGCATATTATATTCTTATATACTTGCGCTGTACGCTTGCGTTGTGTTGTTTGTAAGCAGTATGTGTAATCTGTCCTTTACATTGTATTACAATCTACACATGAACTCTTGCTCGTATATACTTGTGGATCGGATCGTATTGATCTGAACAGTGGCGTATTAGTTCTGGTGTATATACGATGAAGAACTTTCATGAATTCTACGCCCTTTTTTCCAAGCTTTTTTGGACGGAGGGAATAGTAGTTAAGAACAGGAAGAGCAAATATTCCGGAGAAACCATTTTTCATGGTCTTAAAAAATCATTTTTGAACTCCCCAACAACCAAACATGTACTCCCTCCGTCCCATAATATAAGAACGTTTTTGACACTAGTGTAGTGTCAAAAACGTTCTTATATTATGGGGCAGATGGAGTACTTGCGAATCGGAAGAGCAAATATTCCAAACATGTTGTGAAGAATGCAAATAAATTTATCTCTTTGATTGAAACTATGGATGATTAACCTTTTTTGTAGCCACTTGGCAGGCCAAAATAATAAAACATGTTCACAGGTTAACGTGCCTACGCAGAATGCTTTTGAGGAAATTCATATAGAATCCTTTCTCAGTGTGCTTGCTTGATCAAGTAACTAAAAAGAAGCATATGCAACAGTGAAGAAAAGAAGCTATTGCCCATTTAAAGACCAAGTGATTTTTAGTCCGAGTCCAATCTAGTTTCAAGTTGTTTCATAGATCCAAAAAAAATTATTGGCGGTATGCTCAGTAAAAAGTTGTAATGTTTCTGACAAACAAAAAACCAACTGAATAAGCACGGGTGCACAAAGATGAGTGAGAAGTGGTCTAAGTTGCACTCCCTCTGTAAAGAAATATAAGAGCGTTTAGATTACTAGAGTAGTACCGAGGGAGTATAATTTTAGGCTTCTAAAGGGGTCGAATGTGTTGCTTCTGAAGCCAGCTGGACTCAAAAATTGGAGCTTTCAAGCACTTTTAGGTTTGGTGATTCCTCAAGACAGAATAATAAGTAGAGAGTATCCTAAACTGAGTAAACAGGAGTATCCAGAATAGTTATTTGCTTAATCTCAAGTTTGACATATACGATAGTGATACATGTAAGAAGCAGAACATGTAGAGGGCAGGCCTGGCGCAGTGGTGAAGTCCTCCTCACTTGTGCCAAGAGGTCCTGGGTTTGAACCAGCCTCTCTGCATTGCACTTTGCAGGGGTAAGACTAGGTTCCTATAATCCCTCCCCAGACCACACCTTGTGTGGGAGCTTCTATGCACTGGGTCTGTCCTTTTTATACATGTAAGAAGCAGAACAGTGCCAAAGCCACAACCTCAAATCAGGAACAAATAAAAACACAAACTACACCTACAGATTTGGGTACCTCTCTGGTAAATAACATGCCAGCTTGGCAATGCTCTGCCTAGAGCTACTGCAGCACTATGAACCTCTCAAACAGTATACTATGAGCACCCAGCGACCATATAAACATCTAAATTTATATACCGAGCATTCATGGCAGTTCTAGCAACAACATCAAAATCAAGGAGAGATAGGTCAGATTACACAAATAGGTTCCATATTCTGAGAAAAGAACAAGTGATAAAATGTTGAAACTTTTAAGAAAAAGTTGCAGAAGCTTGTAAAATCACAATCCAAGTAACAGAGGTAGGGCACCTTTTTACCCATCGCCAAATTAACAATTCGATAAGCAGGTTGAGGAACAAGCAACCATTGGAGTCTTCAGTGCTGTACTTATTAAACAAGCAAATCGGCTGACAAAACCATATAGTTTCATAAAATCGATAACTCAACAGTTGCAGGATGCTGCAACATCAGGAAGAAAACATGTGCAATTCAAACCTGCAGTAATATCAGCACTTGACTACACGTAGCACTAATTAAATCCACGAGATTAATTACGACACACCAGCAAGCCAGCACGCAGAAAGCATTGTCATATGATCTCTTGGGAGATAGAAACCACTAGCTCTGGATATGACACTTCATCTGCTCATCGGTTGTACCTCTTTTGGGAGATGAATTTACAATTTAGAGACTGGATCAAAGCTTGGAGGGCTAACTGTAAGTTTTCAAATTGGGAACACTAGCTAAGATATTTTCTGCAGATGCATTTTCAAGCAGATTAAACAAGAAAGCACATAGCTGATGCTGCAAGAAATTAGAGGTTAATTACAAAGGTAATCCATTCCCCTGCTTACACACAACAACAACAACACGGGGAAATTATCAAGCTTACTGACCAAAGGCAACATCACTATGAGAATTCAAGCACCAGTGCACTAAACAGCTACTGACTACTGACACGATTAATCACAAGACCCATGTCGCCTCCACTCCAAGTAGTCATCTTTCCTATTGATGATCGTGGCCTCCTGCCCTTAAGCACGTTCAAACATATGTTGTCGGTGCTTCACATTTCAGGGGGTCATCCTTTCTGCCAACATAGATTTGTGAGTGTGATTCCAAAAAGAGAAGACATATATAAAATTGCCAATTAGATGTAACGTTCGAGTGTACATAGCTCTCAAAGTTTGGTCGAGCGCACATACCATCACAAACTGAATCATCAAGTAAAACTTTCTTCAGTCTGATTAAACATTCAGTATTTTGTTTGTTGGGCTAACCAAAATATTATTGCTGCTTAAGCGTTGTTCCTAATAAACCACAAAAGAAGGGGAATAACAGATATACCTTGTGGATTGTGGAAACTCATGTACGGAATCAAAGCAAAGAATTTCTGTCTCTTCCATATCTTGTTCCACTGTAGTGAGTTAAGATTAATCTGGTAGATGCCAAGGTCCGTAAGCACGAAGATGATATCACTGCCTTCCATGGATCCAATCAGTCTAAGTCCTTCCATGGGATTTTGAATGGGAAGAAGGCTTTTGAGATCGATGGCTCTACGCTGAGTCCATGTCGCAACACCCATCTGGCTTGAGCTTGACCACAGGTAGAGGGTTGATCCACTGGCATGTGCAAGCCCCAAGCTGCCATCCTCCATGGCCATGAGGATGACGTCGCCGACATTGACAGCCCCCGGCAGGGGCATGTCAATCAGCGATAAGCAATTAGAGCCCAAGTCGTACTTGAGAATTCCTGCAATGTGATCATGCTCACCACGCGCATGCATCAAGTAAACTGCATCTCGGATGACGACAGGGGGCACCGGCATGATGAATGCGTCAACTCCGAGATCAAGACCAGGGCACGGCTGGCTCCACTCACCCGTCTCCGGCGAGGACACGCACACCTGTATAATAGTAACAGGATGATAAACATGCGTGGTCATGCTGCCGAAGACGACGACCCTGAAGGCGCCCTGATGACACGCGCGGTGGTCACAGCCGGTGACGGCACAGAGCACCGCGGCCCCGCTGCCGATATCCTGTCCTTTGGGCGCTTCCATCTTGGTTTGGCGGCCTGTCATGGGGTCCCAAACGACGAGCGGAATGGGCGCGCCATAATCCCCGAGGAGAACGCGGCCATGGCGGCAGTCCAACGCGTTGTAGTCCGAGCCCGAGTCCCCCCAGTGGTGGTCGGGGGGGACGCGCGCGCCGAATCCCGTGGTGGAGACGAAGCGCGGGACGGCATCTTTCTCCTCCGGCACGTAGTCCCAGAACCAATCGTAAAGGAAGCCCAGCATGGGGGGCGCTCCATGGAGCTCGCGGTAGCGGCCGCGGAAGCGAGGGCCGGTGAGATGGCCGAGCCAGAGCTTGCTGGCGAGGGAGGCGCGAACGAGGCACGCGGGCTCGTCCGGCGGAAGGCGGAGGAAGATATCCTCGACGATTCCGTCCGGCAGCGACGGCGGCGGCGGCATGGTGGTCGCTGGAGGCGAGGCGAGGGTTTCGGGAGGGGAAAGTTTCAGCCTTTCAGGTGGTGCGGAGAGAGGATTTCAGATGTTGACTGTGAGAGGGATGGGGACGAGGAAGAAAAGAAAGCAGTGTTTTTTTCTTCTTCTAAGGATAACGTTCAAGCAGTAGCTTTTTTTTACGATAGCGTTTTAATATAAGTGTCATGGTTTATTTGGGAATTTTAGCTAATCATACCGGCTGAAATAACTTTGGAACATTATTACTTCTATTAGAGCATCTTCAACCGCCGCCCAACGCGCGAGCGCTAAAAATCAGTTTGCAGCACGCCGTTCGTCTGTTTTGGCGTGGCGGCCAGCGCTGGCTCCAGCGACCACTGTAAAATGCAGCGCGCGCGTAGCTTCAGAAGACGCGCTAAAATGTAGCGCGCGCGAGCATCCGACGCTTGCCATATATTGCATTTTGTACACAAAATGAATTTCAAACATCAAAACAAAGACATGGCATAATTTAAATCACACAAACAAGTTCATGATGACTAAAAAGTTCATGCCCACTAGTTCAAATTCATGCCCACAATATCATCCAACCAAGTTCAAAATCCGAACCAAATTCATGACACAAAAGTTCACACCAACGAATGGCCCATCAACAATCAAGCCTCGTCCTCGTCTTCATCTTCCTCTTCCTCCGATTCATCATCCGAAGAGGATTCTTCCTCCTCCTCTTCATTGTCGCACACGGTGTTGGCAAGATCTTCAACGGCATCATGCGAAAGTGTTGGCACACCGGAAGACATGTCGCCCATGCCGCCTGGAGGTGCTCCCATGCCTCCCATGAGAGACGCATAACTCATGCCTCCCATGCCGCCAATGCCACCCGAAGGTGCTCCGAAGCCACCCATGCCTCCCATGGTCTTCATGGTAGCTCCAAAGCCACCCATGGCACCCATGCCGCCCATGATAGTTCCGAAGCCATCGATGCCTCCCATGCCGTCAATGCCACTACCACCCATGCCACCAATGCCGCCCGGAGATGCTCCGAAGCCACTCATGCCTCCCATGGTCTTCATGGTAGCTCCAAAGCCACCCATGGCACCCATGTCGTCCATGGTAGCTCCGAAGCCACCAATGCCTCCCATGCCGCCAATGCCACCGCCACCCATGCCGCCAACGCCGCCCATGCCGCCAATGCCACCGCTGCCCATGCCGCGAATCATGGCTCTTTTTTGGATCAAGACTTCTTCACGGGTAAGATTGACATATTCCTTTTGCGCCTCATTGAGGGTAGATGTGTCCAAGAAGAACAAGTACTTCTCCCATTCCAATAACCTAGATCGCTCCTCCATGCCCACCTTCCTCTCCTCCAATGTCACCTTCCTCTCCTCGGCCGCACCCTCCTCTCCTCGGCCGCCAACCTCCTCTCCTCGGCCGCGACATCTTGGTTCCTTGCCATCTTCCTCACCTCCTTCACTTCTTTTCTTGCCTTCAGAATAGCTTCCATAGCATTTTTTAGCTCATCATCCCCTTTCCTCTTCTTCTTTTCTTTTGCGTCTTTCTTGCACCCATCGGTCGTTTTGGCTTCGAGTATGAAATAGAGTTTAGTGTAGAGCTTCTCTTGCCGTCATCACTTGATGCCTCCTCCTCCTCATCATCCAACTCAATTGTTCGCTTGCGTTTGTTGCTCTCGTCAACATCATCGATGCCGTCACGCTTCTTCCATTTCTCATCATCCTTCAATTCCTCATAGCAATGAGGCAAAGTAAATGGTCTCCCTTTCTTGATCTCCCCTTTCTTGGTCTTCTTCTCCTCTCCTTTGAACAAGTTTTGTGCAATATTAAACTACAAAAAACAAAACAAGTTAGCATTACAAACACCAATAACAAGCATGATGAACATGGATGAAATGGCACTTACCCTATCTATATCATTAGTGCCACTTGGGTTCAACTTCTCAACCGCCTTTTTGTGTGGCCGCCCATTTTTGACAATCTCGGTTGATTGTCGACCATTGGGAGCGAAGAGATCATGCCGAGCGGTCAATTCCACTCTTGTTGTGTACATCAAAGTGCTCCTTCATCTGGCTCCAATATGCATCTCTACTTTGATCACCTCCAACGGATGGATCCCTCGACACTTGCAACCAAGTATTGCATAGCAATATGTCTTCATCGTTGGTGTAGTTGCCTCCTCTTCCTTTCGGTGCATCGACAATGCCCTCACCATCCTCGTCCACCTCGAACTTATGGTCATCGAAATGCATGTCATTGGTTTGAGACCAATGAGAATTGTTGGAGCCAACACCCATAGTTGACATACATGCCTCATCGTTGACACTACAAAGTATATACAATGAAGCACATGAGTTATCTATATGTATGCATTCAAAAAATAACAACAACAAAGAGTTGACATTTTTTTACCTTTGGGGCATTTCCTCGAACACCTTGTGTGCGTCGGCCGCCGACTCAACAAGTTAGCTTGCCGGCGCTTCGGTAGCCGCCGCGTCCGTCGCACGCCTGATACGTCCATTTTGCATCATGCTTTTATATTGATATTTATTGCATTATGGGCTGTTATTACATGATATATCACAATACTTATGTCTATTCTCTCTTATTTTACAAGGTTTACATGAAGAGGGAGAATGCCGGCAGCTGGGATTCTGGGCTGGAAAAGGAGCAAATATTAGAGACCTATTTTGCACAGCTCCAAAAGTCCTGAAACTCCATGAAAGTCATTTTTGGAATTAATAAAAAATACTGGTGAAAGAATCAGCGTCAGGGGGCCCACACCCTATCCACGAGGGTGGGGGCGCGACCCCCCTAGGGCGCGCCCCCTGCCTCGTGGGCCCCCTGACAGCCCTCCGGTGGCCATCTTCTGCTATATGAAGTGTTTTACCCTGGAAAAAATAATAAGCAAGCTTACGGGACAAAACTCCACCGCCACGAGGCGGAACCTTGGCGGAACCAATCTAGGGCTCCGGCGGAGCTGTTCTGCCGGGAAACATCCCTCCGGGAGGGGGAAATCATCACCATCATCATCACCAACGATCCTCTCATTGGGAGGGGGTCAATCTTCATCAACATCTTCACCAGCACCATCTCCTCTCAAACCCTAGTTCATCTCTTGTATCCAATCTTTGTAACAAAACCTCAGATTGGTACCCGTGGGTTGCTAGTAGTGTTGATTACTCCTTGTAGTTTATGCTAGTTGGTTTAGTTGGTGGAAGATCATATGTTCAGATCCTTAATGCATATTAATACCCCTCTGATTTTGAACATGAATATGATTTGTGAGTAGTTACGTTAGTTCCTGAGTCTTGAGGACATGGGAGAAGTCTTGCTATAAGTAGTCATGTGAATTTGATATTCGTTCGATATTTTGATGAGATGTATGTTGTCTCTCCTCTAGTGGTGTTATGTGAACGTCGACTACATGGCACTTCACCATTGTTTGGGCCTAGAGGAAGTCATTGGGAAGTAATAAGTAGATGATCGGTTGCTAGTGTGACAAAAGCTTAAACCCTCGTTTATGAGTTGCTTCGTAAGGGGCTGATTTGGATCCATATGTTTCATGTTATGGTTAGGTTTACCTTAATACTTATTTTGTAGTTGTGGATGCTTGCAATAGGGCTTAATCATAAGTGGGATGCTTGTCCAAGGAAGGGCAGCACCTAAGAACCTGTCCACCCACATACCAAATTATCAAAGTAACGAACATGAATCATTTGAGCATGATGAAAACTAGCTGGATGATAATTCCCATGTGTCCTCAGGAGTGCTTTTCTCATATAAGAACTTGTCCAGGCTTGTCCTTTGCTACAAAAAGGATTGGGCCATCTTGCTGCACCTTATTTACTTTCATTGCTTGTTACCCATTACAAATTATCTTATCTCAAAACTATCTGTTATCGATAATTTTAGTGCTTGCAGAGAATACCTTACTAAAAACCGCTTGTCATTTCCTTTTGCTGCTCCTTAGGTTCGACACTCTTACTTATCAAAAGGACTACGATAGATCCCCTACACTTGTGGGTCATCAAGACTCTTTTCTTGCGCCATTGCCAAGGAGTGAAGTGCCTTTGGTAAGTGGAACTTGGTAAGGAAAAAATTATATAGTGTGCTGAAATTTACTGTCACTTGTTACTATGGAACATAATCCTTTGAGGGGCTTGTTCGGGGTATCTTCACCCCGAGCAGTAGAGCAAAGATTTGCTCCTCAACCTACTGAACCTACTGAAAATGTTTACTTTGAAATTCCTTCGGGTATGGTAGAGAAACTGCTAGCTAATCCTTTTACAGGAGATGGAATATTACATCCCGACTTGCACCTAATCTATGTGAATGAAGTTTGTGGATTATTTAAGCTTGCAGGTATGCCTGGGGATGTTATCAAGAAGAATGTTTTCCCTTTATCTTTGGAGGGATAGGCATTGACATGGTTTAGGCTATGTGATGATATGGGATCATGGAACTACAACCGATTGAAATTGGAATTTCATCAGAAGTTTTATCCTATGCATCTTGTTCATCGTGATCGTAATTACATATATAATTTCTGGCCTCGCGAAGGAGAAAGCATCGCTCAAGCTTGGGGGAGGCTTAAGTCCATGTTATATTCATGCCCCAATCATGAGCTCTCAAGATAAATGATTATTCAAAAAATTTATGCTCAGCTTTCTCTCAACAATCGCTCCATGCTCGATACTTCTTGTGTTGGGTCTTTTATGATGAAGACTATTGAGTTCAAATGGGATTTATTTGAAAGAATTAAACACAACTCTGAAGATTGGGATCTCAACGAAGGTAAGGAGTCAGGTATGACACCTAAGTTTGATTGTGCTAAATCTTTTATGGATACCAATGTCTTCCGTGAATTTAGCACTAAATATGGACTTGACTCTGAGATAGTAGCTTCTTTCTGTGAATCATTTGCTACTCATGTTGACCTCCCTAAGGAGAAGTGGTTTATAATCCTCCCACTGAAGTAAAAGTAGTTGCACCAAT